GGGACTACAACTCCCACCATCCCTAGCTAAGAGGACCAGTGGCCAGGGGTGATGGGAATTGTAGTCCCAAAACATCTGGAGGGCCAGGTTTGGCCATCACTGGTTTAAGCTATCTGAAAGACCGTTTTCCCTCATAAGAACCTGCCCCAAGTTTTGAGATATTCGGGGATACCCTTCTCTCGGCCCCGCAACCTTCACAGGCATGCTTGCTGGGGTCATGGGAGAGAGTATTCTCGGTGGCTTCTCCAGATTTTTGGAACTCCTTCCCTAGAAAAGCTAGACTGGCTCCCACCTTGCTGACCTTCCTTCGGCAGGTGAAGACTTTCTTGTTCCAACAGGCCTTTGGGAATTGACTGCTTTTAGGTAAAGGGATGGTGCCATGCTGTTTTCATTGTAATAAATTTATTTTATTGTAATAATTTATTAGTAGTAGTAGTATGTTTTAAACAGATTTTATTTATGTACAGTTGTACCTTGGGAGTTGAACGGAATCTGTTCTGGAAGTCCATTCGACTTCCAAAACGTTCGGAAACCAAAGCGCAGCTTCTGATTGGCTGCAGGAAGCTCCTGCAGCCAATCGGAAGCCGCAGAAGCCCCATCGGATGTTCGGCTTCCAAAAGAACATTCGGAAACTAGAATACTCACTTCCGGATTTCAATTATTCGGGAGCCGATTTGTTCAGAGCTTTCGAGATCCAAGGTACGACTGTATATAGTTTTGATTCTGTCAATGATATACCGTATTTTTCCGTCTATAAGACGCTTCCATGTATAAGATGGCCCTTAATTTTTGACATTATTTTTTAGGGGGGAAACCTTATCTTATACACGGAAAAATATGGTAGTTTTAATTCTACCAATTTTTAATTGTTATTTTTCTGGTTCTTGTTTTTATCGGTAAGCTGTTTTTAGTCCCATCAGGTTAAAAAGGTGGGGTATAGAGAAATAAAATGAATAAATATTCTTGATCTGAACCAGCAGGGCACACACTGTCTTTCTGCAGCCTTTGAAATGTTGATCGCCTATGAATCTTACAAGAATGCAAGTCCTTCCAGTGTGGGTCAGTTAGGTACCAAGCTGGAGTTGGATGTGGGCTGAAAATCCCATCTTTGCCATGTCGTGGGATGGCCTACCACATAGGACAGTTGTGCAAGTGAATACAATGAAATTTTGATGTCCTGTTGAATCACAATGTGGATAATCCTGGACCCTTCTTTCAGGTTAGGTTCTTGGCCCAGAGAGATACCACCACAGTCAGGAGAAAGCAAAAATAAGACTTTTTTGCTTTTGCTTGCATGGGTGAGGAGGTGACATTAGCTGAGAATTTCTTATTTCTATTCTAGAGGAGCTAACTGCAGCTAGCACTTTGGGGAGTGGTCGGGTGGCAATCTCCCTTTGTATTTTTCCCATTTCTGTTTTAATAAAACAATTCTTACTATCTTGCTTTTTTTTTATAAAAAAAAAGAGCTTTGCTGTCATCCTTTGAAAACGTTTTTATCCTCCACATTGTAGTTAGGGGCAAGCAAACCCAAGGGCCACTGCCTGCCTCTACATGCTTCCTAGTTCCTTTCTCATTTTCTTAGGCCCCTTTCCCAGCAGTGCTTTTTTTATCAGCTTATGATACTAATAGTTAATATCCTCAGTATAAATAGTGCTTTGTAGAATAACACAAGGTTGGGGTGTCTTCTATGTTCATGTTGCTCACAGTCTAACTTTAAGCAGCGAATAAGTCAATCAAGGGAGAAGAAGGAAGGAGCAATGAGATTCTTGTCATTGCAACTTGACAACGTTCCATGTGGCAGTTCTAATCACGTGATAGGTTGGTTCTCTGTTGCTTCCAGGTTGAACACTGAACTCAGCACCGCCGTATCACTTCCTTTTATTCTTTCCTGTGGGATGCAGTCTATTTGGTGCTACTCTTGTGAACCAAGCAGGCATAAAACTCCCAGAAGGAGGCAGCCATGTTCGCGCAAGCAAAAGGGAGCCCTTTTCCTCACCTTACCAGAAGTGGTCCTTTTCAGGTTTAGAAAATAAAGATAGTAGATGGCCAATGCTGGATATATGCAAGATCAAAGGTAGTGCAGAGGGAATGAGTAGAGGAAAGTTTAGTAAGTCAGCTGTCCCTTGAAAGCTGGTTGGCAGTGAGGTGAAGGCAAGTACAGAGGAAGGACCTGTGGAACGCTTGGCCGCAGGATGTTGTAACAGGCTAAATTAGGTGACATACATGCTTAAGCAGTGGGTAGTGGCCACACTAAGCCAGATAAATGCACAAGGACACACACACACACAAATTTATTGAAATGTGTAAGGAGAATTTATTTCAGGCTGTTAAAAGGCTTGTGCATGGGCTGTACCATGCTGCCCTTGCACTTTTGACTGGCATCAGTTGGCCCACTGTCGAAAGACACAATTGCTGAGCTATCTGGACCCGGAGTGGCAGGTTTGAGTTGCTTCTCATCTCCCCCAACCCCACCATTGTGGCTGAGATCCTTCTTACTCTGCCTGAGAGGCACCCCCAGGGAACGGAAGCGTTTTTCAGACGGCGTCCCTCGCCTTATTTTCTTTTTTCCTCCATTCCTTTTGTAACTTTATTATCACAAGCGCGCAGGCCGATACCAGCCCAATTTGGTTAATGATCCCGGAGATAAGAATTATTCCGATAACTTCCAGGCCAGCTGGCTTGCGGGAGCCAATCGGATGCCGGCTTTGCCAGGAAACTGATGGGGAGATAAGATAAGGGAGGAATTGTATTAACCTGCAGGGTGGTGAAACTGAGCGCCAGCACCACCGATCCCAAGATTAGGGGCAGTGAGACGCACGCACACAAGCAGAGCAGGCGGGAGGGAGGGAGGGGGAAAATGGACTTTGTTCCTTGCGATAATCTGCAAGATTGTTCTGACCATTAGCTAGGCTGGGCTGGGCTCTTATTAATAGACACGTCATGGCTTCCTTTTCGTCCCGGATGGGGCTCAGAGAGCTGGCGTGTGTGAACAAGTGTGTTTGAGGGTCTCAAGTGACTGTGGAATCTTCAGTCTTTCCTGCCCCATTGTAGTATTTCATGTTCCCCATGCTCAAATCTCTCCGTCACTTGTGCAGTCTGCATAGGGCTTTATGGGTAGACCCAGATATGCTCACTTAAGCATAAGGTTTGGCACAGTTCACCCTTTAATTCAATCCTACCTAACCCTAGCCTTTCCCAAAACAATACATCAGGCATTCCCAAACTCGGCCCTCCAGCTTTTTTGGGACTACAACTCCCATCATCCCTAGCTAACAGGACCAGTGGACAGGGATGATGGGAACTGTAGTCCCAAAACATCTGGAGGGCCAAGTTTGGGGATGCCTGCAATACATGAACAGAACCACAGCTGCCCTTCCTTCTCTGAAGGTTGCAATGTAGTTCTCCAACCCCAACATGTCTAAATAGGTGTGCATAAAAATGATTATTAGTAAAATAATAATAATAATAATAATAATAATAATAATAATAGCATCAGCGGGTGTATTTTATTAGCAGAAAATGCTTACAAAAATGTGTTTCTTAGTCAAAATTGCATAGAAAAATGCCCCATTGGGGGAAATGCACACAAAATATTGTCGAATTTTCATGAGGACTTTTTTTTTAAGGTAAATAAGTTGCAGAATGGTGTGGAAATGTGGTGAATGGAGATTAAGACTAGAAAAATGAGCGATGAAGAGAAACCAGAGCTGACAACCAATTTGCTGTCCTTCCCTCTGTCAGCTTCTATGAGTCCCTTGAAGCCTCACAACAATTCAGCAAAGCCCATTGCAAAGATGGCAGCCGCAATGTTGTTTGAGATGATGATGGCAGTCAGGAAGGGTTTCTTATAAGCAAGAAGACCTTCATTTGGTGGGTGAAGGAGTGCAGGAGGCGGGTCTTACGACAAGGGGCTCTATAGGGCTTAAGATCTTAAGAGCCTGGTTTTTGGATCAGACCAAAGGGAGCCCATCTCCTCCAGCATCCAGTTCCCACAGGTGCCAACTAGATGCCTCTGGCAAGCCAACAAGCGGAACCCGAGCAGCGCAGCAGCACTCTTCCCACTTGCAATTCCCAACAACTGGAATTCAGAGGCCTACTGACGCTGAGCCTTGGGGTTTTTTAGAGCTATATTCAGACAGCCAACCATCGTCCATTCTCTGAAAGGGTACAAGTTGCTCTCTGGCAGACACAAACATGAGTTGGGCACATTTACTTTGCTCATATGTTGTGTGAGCCCTCCAGCTTTGAGGTACTGTTAACTATTGACATCTCTCTACAAACGGGCCCCAGTTAATCGGATTACCGGCGGTTTTTGCATTGCCCCCTAGCAGCTGGAGGTTGGCTGGGCTATTCCTGGCCAGGTGGCCCAGTGCTTCTGGGCAGGGAGGCGGGAGAGCAGCTGGAGAGCCTCCTGGCCTCAGTGCTGCGGTTGGGTTTCTGCTCTGCTGTGCCTCGGTTTCCACCTTGCTTTCCTGGAGCTGCCCTTCGGCATCCGCCTTGGCTTTCAACGAGGGGAGTAGTTCCTGTTATGTCCTTTTTAGCAAAATCCGGCAGGGACGGAGGGAGGGAAGCGGCTCGGCTTGCCCTATTTTCGTCCCCTTGTGTCTGGAACGGTTGCTTTCTTTATCAGTGGCTGTGTGTTTTCTCTGGTGGGGATTGATACACAGAAGATGGAGTGCTCTGACATGGAAAGTGTCAGGCAAAGGCTCTTATCTTGGAGACATGGTCGCCTGACCCAAACGCAACTGATTAGCCAGCAAGAAGCTGGAAGAGGAGGAAAGGGGGCAGGAGGAAGGGTGGCAGTTGGGCACAAAACAGGTTTGTTTGCTAAGCTGGACAGAACTTGCTCATTACTGCTCACTTGGCTGCAGCTCTCCTTGAGATTCCCTAAAGGGAGGAACCTTTTTGCAGAGGGCTGGCTGATCAGAAACTGGATTTCACTCCCTCGCTTCTTCCCAGACGGGAGTGATGCATTTCAGTAGAGGCTGTCCTGCTTTAAGGGAGGGGCCATAGCTCAGTGGCGGAACATCTGCTTTGCATGCAGAAGGTCCCTGTTTCAATCCCTGGCTTCTCCAGCTGTGGCTGGGAATGGTCTCCTACCCAAAACCCTGGAGAAAACAGCCATGGCTGTTGTGAGTTGTAAGTGGATAGGTGAAGGCTCCATTATTACCATATCAGCAGAACTTGACTGGACCAGCGGAGGCACACCTTTAAAAAAATGCTGGGAATTGCACGGTTTGTGAGAAGCCTCCAGAATGGAGGCAAGATCAAGGGCAGGGTTTCCTATTAGTGTGCTCTTTCCTGGGACAGAAATGTAAATGAGGTGTAGCCTCAGTAAGATGTTGCCAAGTGCACAGAAAAGAATTTAAAGGAGCACTCCACAGACAGCAGCTCCCCAGTGACCTGCCACTGTGCACAGGATGTCCTCCCATGCGCAGGGCTGTTGGGTCTGGGGATCAGTTGCCATGGCTAAAGAACAAGAGTGAGGAGTTGGCTTCGCCCCTTTCTTCTGGGTCTCCTGGAGGCATCTGACTGGCTGCAGTTAGATACAAAAATGGCCATCATAATGGCTATGTATGTTACCTTCAGGATCAAAGGCTGTATGCCATGAAATACCAGCTGATGGAGAGCAAGAGAAAGCGCTGTTGCTTTCATGCCCTAGTTGTGGGCTTTCCGGAGGCATCTGATTGGCCGTTGCCCAAAACAGGATGCTGTGCTTGGGCCACATTCTCACCATGCAGTTTACAGTGGTACCTCGCAAGACGAATGCCTCGCAAGACGGAAAACTCGCAAAACGAAAGGGTTTTTCGTTTTTTGAGTTGCTTCGCAAGACGATTTTCCCTATGGGCTTGCTTCGCAAGACGGAAACGTCTTGCAAGTTTGTTTCCATTTTCTTAAAACCGTTAATACAGTTGCGACTTGACTTCGAGGAGCAACTCATAGCACTGGTCCGGTAGCCTTTTTTGAAGACTTTGGTGATTTTTGAAGCTTTTCCAAAACTTTTCCGACACCGTGCTTTGCAAGACGAAAAAACCGCAAGACGAAAAAACTCGCGGAACGAATTAATTTCATCTTGCGAGGCACCACTGTATCTCTATGATACCACTTTAAACGGTCATTGATTCCCCCAAATAATTATGCGTGCTGTAGTTTGTTAAAGGTGCTGAGCGTCGTTAGGGGACCCCCATTCCCCTCACGTTGCTTCAATTCCCAGAGTGGTTTAACAGTCAGTCCCTCTTCACAGAGAACTCTGGTAATTGTAGGGAATAGTGGCCTTTTGAGAACTCTCCGCACCCATGAAAAACTACAGCTCCCAAAATTCTATGGCTATTTAAAGTAGTATAATAGCACATTAAATGTGTGTTGTGAATGGGGCCTTAGATCAGTCTTTGATCTGAGCCAGCAGGGCTCTTGTACAGGTTGAATCCTCCCACTCCTCGTGTGCGCAAGGCCACCTTGGGAATTTTGCTGAAGCTGCTCTGAGCCCAGAAACTCTCCAGCGATGGTCTCCCCTCCCTTCACCTCACCTCTGCCCTGATAAGCTTTAGCACATGGGGACCTTTGCCTCCCTGTCCACCCCAGTGCCTTTGATGTGTTTTGGTGGAACGAGCAGTCTGATTCCAAGGCCTTGTTTCCCACGCAAGGAGTTGGATCTGGACCCTCGCCAAGCCTCCCTCCTGCGCCTCTGTCCGTCGCTCCCTCGGAACACCTCGACTGCAGGGCTTTGGGGAGGGAGGGAAAGAGGGCGAAATGCAATGCCGACCCCTTTCTCCACTTTCAGATGTACAAAGGGGGACTGCTGGGAGTCTCCGTTTAACATCCATCTGAGTATTGCTTAGCTGCCATCTTATCTGTCCGCTGAAAGATGAAGGTGCAGCTAAAACATTTTAGGCTGGTCTTCCCAGCCGATTTACATGTTATCTAACCCATTAAACCGAGAGGCTTATCGGACCATCAAGGCCATTACAGCTCAAAGCCGTCTCAACCGAGGGTCCTAATGAAGCAAAATAAGAGGCTCCCTTTTTGATGGAGGGATGCCAGCAAGCTTTGATCCGTCCCCTGCGTTGCAGCTCCTTGCAAAGTAACCAGAGAGGGGCCACAGTGGGCTGAGGTGATGCCAGGAAGGGTTGGATCTGTCCATTTTGGTTTCTTTCAATTCCCTGTTTCTTCCCATCTTAAGTTCAGTCCTCCACATTTCTGCAGCACTTTGCAGTTTCTAAAGGTCCTCATAAAAATTCATCAGTATTTTAGTGTGATTTCTTCTTTGCATTTTTGCCTAACATGCACACATTTTTGCAAAGCAAATTTCCCTAATACAATGCATTTTGGAATATTATATTTACTGATACAGGCAGTTTTATAATGCTCTACTCTAGCACATGCATTTTTCTACACGTTACTTGACTGGAGAACTGCACTGCAATATTCGGAGAAGAGCAAATTTTGAAAGATGCTGTGCTTCGGTTCTTGTATTGTTTTGGAAATTACAAACCTGGTAGTTTCACCTTTTAATGCAAACTGAACTGAATTCCCCCCCCCCCCCAATCCCTACATGATGCCCAGACAGGGAAAATCCAGTGCTTTCTGAGTCATCTTACAAAGGTTGCTACAAACACGAACTCTTACCTTTAACCATTGTTATTGTTAAAAGCACATTGATGGATTTTGTGTAACTCAAAAGCTCATCAGGCAGTGTAGAGTGCCATAATGTTGACATTCTAGAAAAGTTAAGTAGGATTGCCTGCACGAAGGAAGGATCTATGGTTCAACTGAAGAGTATTTGCTTTCAATTTAGAAGGTCCCAAGTGAAATCACTGGTATATCAGGTAAGAGCTGGGACAGACTCCTTGCCTGAAACCCTGGAGATTTGTTGCTGCCAGTCAGTGTAGATAAAGTAAAGGGACCCTATGGTCTTGACATTGTCCCAAGTTCCTATTAAATCAGATATTTACCCTGAAGAGTTAAATAGCTGGCTTACTGGGCTGCACACCCTGGACACCGAAGTGGACAGAGATGCAACTCACAAAACAGGCAGGTCCTTGAGGAGGTAAAAGGTGACTTGCCAAGTACCTCTGACTTTTGTGGAAAACACACGCTAAATATTTTGTTGAAAACCCTTTAGGATACACCCAACAGTTGTTTATGCTGCCAGAGCAACCTGAAAAGCTTACCTTAAGCAGATGCGGCCATCTTGGACGTGGCTGTTGAGGTGCAACTTTCACAGGGGGACCCCATATTTAGCTGAAGCACCAATTCCACCTTTGAACTGAGGCGAAAGCAAACCTGTTCACTGAAAACTCTGGCTTCAGAATGTGGGCAGCTAATCGCAGTAGAAGGCCACAGGTCGAAGCTGGGGGGAAATTCTCGGAAGCAACAGGTGAGGGACAGGTGAATATCTGGAAGAAGAGCTGCTTTGGTTCTTGTTCAGTAGGTCATTGGCAGCAGTGATGGTCAATGGTCATCATGGTGGCTGGCATAACCACACTCCCTAAACTATAAGCAGCTCTGCCGATCCTATATGTGCTCATATTCTCCTCCAGCTTATTTGGAAAGCATAAAGGGATTCCTTACGCACAGTGGACATGCGTTTGTGGTACTGGGGAGGTGGAAGACGTGGTGCATTCTCTTTTGCACTTTCCCTCGTATAGAGATCTCAGAGCTCATTTCTGGAGGAGACCTTTGGAGAGCAAGAGCTGGCTGGGCCCTGCCTGATATTATTTGCAATCTGTTGGCAGAACACGGTAAAACCATTGCAAACCCAGGTGGCCACCTCTGCAGTAGCAGCTTTAAAAAAATCCCTTGCGTTCCTCTTTAACCAGGCCTTTGACTGATTGACATCCAATGCCCATTTAAAATTAAAAAAGTTGGGGGGAGGGGTTGTTGGGTTGTTTTTGTTATGTATTTTGTGGTGTTATATTGTGTTTTTATGTTGTAACCGCCCTGAGACCTGGGGTATAGGGCGGTGTACAAATGTAATAACTAATAAGGACAACAATAATAAAGGCTTTTGTCATGGAATGCAAAAAGGGCTATCCACAATAGTATCGTGACGTTGTTCATCTTGGTTTGTGCTGATAATTATTAGTGTCAGTTATTATTAGGACTGTGCTTTGTCCTTGTTTCTCTGGTGTTTGCAATTGTGCCTCACATAAGTACCATATATCAGTGCAAATGTTTTTTTTAATTAAATTTTGAATTATAACAAACAAATAAAAAACATATCAAGTAAAATATCAGGTTAGTGAAATCATATACAGCACAAAGTCCAGCATGAAGAAGAAGATGGTTACAAAGTTTACTATGCAAACAATAAACCCACCAAAGTAAAACCTCACAAGATCCACAGCTTTGTATAGGCAGGAGAGTCTGCCCAGCCATGAGCTTCATCATTTGTAAATGAAGTCATGCTATATTGCGAAAAAAATAGGGGGTGTGTCTCTTGTACAGTACTATGTTCTTCAGCAACTTTTAATTTATGGGAAATATTTTCTAGAAGAGCATTTGCCCTTCTAGATCTTTGACCTGTAGAACTGCCACTGTTACAGGTGACACATGATACCCATTCCACATCTGTTAGAAAATGATATTTTAGTGTGGTGGCACCTACACTTCGGAATTCCCTGCCTGTTGATACAACGAAGCAGGTGCCTTCATTGTATTCTTTTGGCCATCTACTAAAAGCATTTTTCTGTAGACAAGTCTGCCCAGATACATAGAATCTGATGTGCTTTTAGTTTATTGCTACTTTCACTTATCTCAGTGTTTTACTTGTCTTTACTACATATGTTATTGTTTAATTATTTTTGTAAACCACTTTGATAGCTTGCTTGTTTTTACAATCAAGCGGTATATAAATTGTATGAAATAAATAAATAACATTTGCAAATAACGTTTCCTGCCCCAGTGGCCTCGGGGCTCGCTCAGCTGGGGACAGGAGCCTTTCCGCCCCACCCCCCACCCCCTGGCTGAGCAGCAGGCTAGGGCCAGCTGTATTGGCCACAGCCTGTGAGGCACTGGGGTGAAAGCACCTTGGTTCCCACAATGAGAACTATGGCAGTTTCACTCCGCATCTCGCCAGCTTGGGCCAATACAGCTTTTCCCAACATTCTGGTATATCGCCAAACCGTGTTGTTTTGCTGGCGATGTTGAAAATTCAGCATCGCCCAGCCCTAAGACATACATACCTTCACTCTGCAGAAAGCAACAGTGCATAGTATAATTCAAATTTATTATGATCAGCCAACAGCCACAGGAAATATGTTTGTAGAATTAATTCAACTTATTAAGCATATTGAACTTTAAAGAAAGAGCCCAACCTTTGTCTTTTAATCAGGAAATGTGAACAATTTTGCAAAAGAAGTGCTTTCTGCTTCAACTGCTAATATGAAGTAGGAACCTCGTTAAAGAATAAGAAATAGTACCTAGCCTCTGCTCAGTTATTTTGCTCATTCACCGAGGTCTTCCATGCTTTCACAAGCAAATTTGAAAACCTCATTTTCACCTGCCAAAACAAGGAGGGTCCATCTGTCACCCTGGTGTGCAACCAGATGGCACCGTCTCTCCCACTCAATTGGTTGATAGATGTTATGGGAACATTGTAATCTGGCCATTTCTGTGGTTTTAAGAAAGGAGGAAGCCCACGCCACCTAGTAGGGAGATCTCTTCTTACTGAAGAAGCTTCCTTGGAAAGTTTATGTATGGTCTCACCTCACTGATTTCTGCTTCCCTGATCTTGCTATTTTTCCTCCTGTCCCATCAGGTGAACTGGAGCTGATGACATCAGAGGGCGAGAGCAAAGTGCGTGCCAGGCAGAACGTGCCTGAGGGATTGTCCTGGGGTCCGTACCAGGGGAATATCCACAGTGAGCCTGCTTCTCCAGGGAACAGTGAGCCAGTAAGTAAAGCAGTCAGTAAGTCAGCAGAAATGAAAGCAAGCACCCCTCTCCTCTTTTCCTCTCTCTGCAGAAAACAGCTGCAATGCCCTTTGGTGGGTGGCATCATTTTTACCCCACCTTCCCTCCAAGGAGATCAAGGCAGTCCATGGTACTCCAGTTTTATCCTTGCAGAAACTCTGTGAGTTAAGAGACGGGCAGTTGTAGAGCACCTGCCTTGAGTGCAGGAGGTTCCAGGTTCAATCGTCTGCATCTACAGGTGCCACTGCCAGTCAGTGCAGGCAGTACTAAGTTCTATACCATCCTGGCACTGGGGCTGAGCTTGCACCAGATGGCATTCCTAGCCTGGCTGTCATTTCAGACCACCTTCCTGCACTTTTGAGGCAGTCCCTTCCACTTCCTGGGACTTAAAAAATCTATGTATGTTGTCAAGTAGAGGTGTAAGCACGGATATCTCAGTTGGTTAGAGTGTGGTGCTGATAATGCCAAGATTGCAGGTTCAATCCTTGTATGTTACAGCTCTATATTCCTGCATTGCAGGGAGTTTGACTACATGATCCTCAGGGAACATTCCAACTCTACGACTCTATAATTTTATGATTCTAAGCCAATGTGGTTCTCTCCAGATGCCTTGGGACTACAAATCCCATCAGCCCCAGTCAGCCTGGTCAGTCATCATGGATGATGGGAGTTGTAGTCCAAGGCATCTGGAGGACACCGTCTTGGCTAGCCCAGACCTTGCAGCATGTCTCAGTCACCTCCACAGGTAATAAGTGGTGATCATCATAACCACACCCCAAGGCAATGCTTCTGATTCTTCCTGTTTCTCACTTACAAGCAGCATCCTTTTAGCACAGGCCAAGCTACGATTCTGTGTTTAGCACCACACACAAAGTGCCCGTCAGCAGGATGCAGCTTCTCCCATGCAGCTAATCTCATTAGCGCGGCTCATGGCAGGGCTATATCCCATCAGCATCAGGTTCTTAAAAGCTCCGTTCTGCACAGGCCTGTGGTATGTTTTTGAAATCCCGGCTGGAAGGCCTTTACCCTGCTGGGCTTAATTTCTGGTTTCCCCAGTTGTCTTGCCGTTCTGTCTCGGAACTGGTGCTGCTTCGCTTATTCATCAGCGATCTGGAGCTGGGCTGAGCAGGGAGGTGGCCAAGTCGCAGGTGACCCCAAATTGTTCAGGAGGCCAATGAACCAAGCAAGGCTGTGAAAAGCTTCAAAAGGATCTCTCTAGGCCCTGTAATGAGCAGGCAACAAAGTAGTAAATGAGGCCCCATGTCAATCAAGTAGGAGCAAGGCTTATTGCAACCAAAAATAATCCCATGTGTATTCCAGTTTCATGGATGACAAATTGCAGAGCCTGTAATTCCCCCAGAACAATTTTTTCCCACACCAGTGCCTCAGCTTGGAACATAATACAAACGCCTTGGAGGATGCACAGAGTGCTTTCCTTTTGCTGCTGAATACCTACAGTCAGCTGCTGTATTGGAGGTGGCTAGCCAGATCTTGTTGGACTTCAATTCCCAGCTGACCCAGCCAACATGGCAAGTAGCCCAGGGCATGACGGGAATTGTAGTTCTGCAACATCTGGAGGGCCACAGCTGCCACACCTCCATCTCATTTGGGTCTTCATTTCTCCGAGAGCAGGGGTTTGCTGGCTGACCCCACTTCCCCCATTGTGTTCATGTGTTCAGCCCCATCACCCTCCACACAGTTGTCTGCATTGGGGAGCTTCCTGACTGGCCAGGAAAGAAATATTGGGGTCAGTGTGGACAGCTCCCAATGGTGACAATGGAAATGGGAAATTCCACGTTAGTTGTGATTAAGGAAAGGTATTGAAAGTAAAACAGCAAGTATTACAATGAAGACAGGATATAAATCTTAAAGTGGACCTGCCTTTGGAACAACTGGGCCCCATCTGCACCGTACATTTGAAGCAGTATCATACCACTTTAAACAGTCACAGATTCCCCCAAAGAATCCTGGGAGCTGTAGTATTTTAAGGGTGCTGAGAGTTGTTAAGTGACCCCTTTTCCTCTCACAGAGCCACAGTTCCCAAAGTTCCTTGGGAAGAAGGATTGGTGGTTAAAGCACCCTGGGTGTTGCAGCTTTGTGATGGGAATGGGGGTTCTCCACAAGGCATCTTTTCCGTAAGCATCCCAGATCATGAGGCTGGGTAAGGCCCCTCTCAGCCTCAAGCCATGGAAAGCTGCTGCTAGTGAGTGTAGGCATCCCTAAAGTAGCTGGACTGATGGTCTATCACAGAAGAAGGCATCATAATATGTTGTTTGTGCATCTTTGGCTTCTGTCTGTTTAGTTTGTTCCATTTGTGCTCCTCTTGGGTGTCCAAACCTGGGTTTTGTGTTGACTTACAAACCCAGTATCTCATCCTCACAACCTCTTTTGGCCCTGCTTCCTTTTCCTCTTAAACTTCTCAAGTTTTGGCAGAAGAGGTGACGGACGTCAGAATCAAGATTGTTTTGCGGGGTTGTGTGTGTGCATGAGTATCTCATTTTGTGCAACAAGTACACGTCTGATTCCAATAAAAATATTGCAAAACCTTTTAGAACAAATGATAAGAATAATATAGCAATGTGCATGCCTCCGAAAAAACAGCTATGGACATAATTTATAACTAGGCTCAGGGAGTTCTGAAATGACTTGGAATTCAGAAAAGGGGAAGGGGGTGGGAAACCCAAAGGATTCATCCCCTCTTTGCCCCGCACTGGAGGAGGCAGGAAGAGCAGAATGGGAGCAGGTTGGTGCTAACTTTCTTCGGAGGATCTTGTTCCATAGTTCTGGGTTTTTCTGTCTGAGCCCTGGCTGTATTATTGCCATTGCTGCTGTTAGATTTATTACCTGCCTTCAGCAGAAGGAACCGGGGCAGGTCATAGCAATGTAAAAATACAACAGTCAAAGCAGTTTGAAACAAATTGCAATCACAACTAGAGTGGGTCCTAAAAACAGACATCTCAAGTGGAGGAGGTGGACACTGTCAATGGCTACTAGCCATGGTGGCGATGCTGTACCAACCTGGTCCAAGGCAGCTATGTTTATGTATACTAGCTGCTGGAAACCACAGGAGGGGAGAGTGCAGTAGTGCTCAGGTCCTGCGTGAGAGTTTCCCACAATCTTCTGGTTGGCCACCATGAGAGCCGGATGCTCAGCTAGGCGGGACCTTTTCAGCCTGATCCAGTGTCCTTAAGGGCCCAAAGGTCAGGGCAATGAGGTGCATCTTCAGCATGAATTTCCAACTTGGGGGGGATGCCTGGCACCCCCATACCCACAATGTTTCATGCCCTGCTCTATAGGTGGTTAGGCTGCCCCCAAGTGCTATCCAAGGGACCTTGGCCTGGGCAAGACCCGATCTCTGCCAGTGGGAAAAGGAGGAGGCGGTGGTGGCTCTTTTGGGATTTCTTCCAACTCTTTTTTTATGGGGCTTTGTGAAGGATGTGGGACAGAAAGCCCTGGCCTCTCCTCTCCTCTCCCTTCTCTTTCTCTCTCTCTCTCTCCCCCTCCCCCCCCCAGCTCAAGCCTCCCCGTTTATCTTCTTTTTTTTTTTTTGCCAAATTAAATCCTTGATTAACCCTTATCTTGCCAGTTTGGCGGCTATCTCTCCTGTGGCGCCGTATGTCCAGACAACCAGTACGGGATGATTGATTTCTTAAAGATATGCCGCTGCTTTTTTCTGATACTTCATTTATTGTCTAAATATTTTTGCTCCCATTTCAGCAGCTTCCCTTATCAAGTCGTGTTGATGATTCCCAGCCCTGCCCTCTCTCTCTCTCTCTCCCTCCTCTCATCCCCCCCGCCCCAGTTTCTTCCTTTTCTTTATATTTTCAGTTGCCTCCCTTCTCTGTTTTGTTTTGTTTTTTACCCAGAAGACAGAGGAAAGGGTTGTTGCTCTCTATGGCCGAAAGTGACTATCAGTCTCTTTTCTTGCCTGGGGAGGGGGAGGTTGGGGAAGCACGGAAAAATGGGTCTCCCAACTCTATCTTTTCTTCAGTAACTGGTATGAAAAAGCCCTAGTCTATGATGGCCATTAGGGAAGGGAAAGCAGGAAGCTGCCTTATATCATCAGGCTATTGGTTCATCTAAGACAGTATAGTTGTCTCTGACTGGCAGCAGCTCTCCAGGGTCCCAGGCAGAGAAACATTTCCCATCTTCTGCTGGCTGACCCTCTTAACTTGAAAGTGCCAGGATTAAATAAGTTCAGTATGTTGATTATTATATTTATTTTCCACCCTTCACCAGAAGGCCCCAGGTTGGATTACAGCAATATAAAATGCAGCATTCAAAACAGTTTAAAACAGCTCACAATCACAGCTGCAGCGAGTCCTAATAGAGGCAAAAAGAGAAGCGGGGTGGTGGTGCTGCCTTTGCACCCTGCTTGTGGGGGCAGCCAGGAGGCACATTACGGGAATCCGGGTTGCTGGACTAGATAGATCTTTGAGCTGATGTAGCTGCCCTCTCCTCACGCTCCCATGCCATTGATGGGCAGCAGAATTGAGTCTGCCAGGCCCTACTAGGAATGAGGGAGGAATCTGCATTTTGCAACAGACCAACCTGACCTGATGGCTGCAGCCCTGCTTGTGGATCATAACACAGCTCCCAGTTGGACGGTGGATTTTGCAATGCATTTGCAGTCTGCAAAAAGTGCACACCAAAATCCGCATGTTGTGTCAACAGTGCATATAAAACACGTGTTTTGAGGTGAATGCATTGAAGAGTGTGTGTTTACATTAAAAGGTGCACACACGACGCATGGGACAGGCTCACGACTGAGTGGCAGCGAGGCTGAAACAAGATGGAATTAACTCCTCAGCCCATCCCTAGTCTTTGTCCATCCTAATGCAGCTTTGTAAAAAAATATGCTGTGTCCAGCTTCATGCTACAATGCCATAGGCATATAGGAAGCTGCTGTGTCAAATCCATTGGTCCACCTGGCTCAGTACTGTCAACTCTGGCTGGCAGCAGCTCTCCAGCTTTTCAGGCAGAGGTCTCACTCCCAAGCCTGCCAGGGATTGAACCTGGGACCTTCTGCATGCAAAGCAGATGCTCTGCCTCTGGGCTATGGCCTTTCCCCAAGCCAGGCATGTGGGAAGATGCCATTAGCACACATTCGCTGCATCCTTACCCCTCCCTGCAAGACTGGCACTCTTTGCCACAATGAAGTGTCTCTCCTCAGCCTCAAAAAAAAAAAAAAGGGCAAGCAAAAAAACCCAAACCTTCCTGTGGGGAGGGCCGAATCATCCTGGAGGTTAATGATTAACCAGCGTGACGGTTCTCCCTTCCCTTGTTTGGCAAGGGGTCCGGCTGCCCCAGATAAAAAAAAAGTCCCAAGCGGATGTTGCTCAGATACAGTTTCCGATGGTTATCTGGGCCGCTGCAGATTGGAGACACTGACCTCTTTGTTAAGGGGAAAACAAGGAGGGTTTCTCTGCCTTGCCTTCCTGCCCGGACCCACTTACCACGGAGGGGCTGGCATGGAGAGTGTCCGGGAAGGAAACCACACCTTGCTTGCCAGTCTGTCTCTCTCACAGCCCCTTTATGCTCCCAATGGGGCATTGTGGGGAAAGGGGGGGCTGTTTTGGGGAGCCAGGTTGGCACGGATGCAGACCTTTGCGAGCTTGTCGCCTGGAGTTATTTGTAAGAGACAGTCTTGTTACTTGACTCCAGGGCGCTCTCGAGAACCTGGGGGTGGTGACGACAGGGCAGGGCTAATGGAGCAACAGAATGAGCCACTTCCAATGTGTCCGTTGTGGTTTGTGCAGGCATCTTTTTACACCCTTATAGCACCATAAGCCTGCAGGGAGCTTTGCAGATGAGAATGTGGGGGGAACTCCTTGCCCCAAAGAGCTGTGAATAGAGTTACAGTGAATGACTGACTTACAGAAGGGCAGCCTTTCCCAAGCTGGTTCCCATCCTGGAGCTCTGGACTACAGCTTGTGCCCATGGGGCCTGATGGAGAATTGTAGCCCAGGTAGGCACAAATATTGCAAAAACTGCTGTTTATAGTAAGGGGAACCTTGCACAAAGCCCCTGAATCTTCAAAGGAAATGTGGGCTTTCAGGAGGGATCCTGGGAGAGGTGGCTTTGTGCTGGGTAGTGATGCCAAATATATGGGGCAGCAAAGCAGTAAAGCTTTTTTTTTATGGAAAAAAACACATTTTATTGAAAATTTGGGATTTATATGCCACTTTCCAGTCAAAAGCAAACCCCTGAACCATAATGAAAATACCAAACGTACAAACAGTTGAACTAAATTATAACAGCAAGCGATTAAGAACAAGTTAAATAAATAAAAGTATTGAAGGACGTAAGAAGCCAAATGCCCATCTAGTCTAGCAACCTGTTCTCCTAGGGGCCAACCAGATACCCTAATGGGAAGCCTGCAAGCAGAAACTTAGTTCAACAGCACCGTCCCCACCCACTATTCACTGCAACTGGTAGTACACAGACTTACTGCCTCCAGCAATGGCAGCAGAACATAGCCATCCTGGCTAGTCATCATGGATAGCCTTATCCTCTGTTAATTTGCTTAATGCTCTTTTATAGCTGCCTGAGAGTGGGTGGCCATCATTGCATCTTGCGAGAGAGAATTCCATAGTTTGTTCACTGTGTGAAGATGTCCTTCCTTTTGTCTGCCTTGCCTCCTCCAACACTCAGCTTCATCGGACATCTTTGAGTTCTAGTATTATGAGAAAAGGAGAAAAAACATCTCTCTGTTTACTTTCTCCACACCATGGATCTTATATGATAGAGGTATCATGCCCCCTTTACTAGCCTCCTACCCCCCAGCCAAACTTAAAAGGCCTTAATGTAGTAAATGTTCTTCATTCTAGGGTTGCTCTAACCCAGGCGTTGGCAAAGTTTTTGTGGCTTGGGCCAGTTCACGGTCCCGCAGATGCCACGGTGGGCTGGAGTGTGCACATGTGCGCATGTGCAAACACTATTTCTGGCGCAGAGGAGGCGTGAACAACTTCCCATTGGCTGCAGGAGCTTCCTACAGCCAACGGGAAGCCGGCCAGTGTCACAGAAGGCGGCTCCCGCTCTGCTCCGCGCTGGTTTAGTGCAGTGCACAGGAGCCAATCAAGCGGGCGGCAGGGGTCCATGGGTGGTTAATGACCCCCATGGGCCACTTGTGACCCATGGGCCTTAGGTTGCCGACCCCTGCTCTAACCAGTTGATTATTCTGGCTTCCTTTCAAGGATGTAAATCAATGGGTGAGAGGTGCCAGTTCGCCCATGATTTTCTATGGATGCAGCTCTTTGCAGTTCTCTTCTCCCTAGTTTTACTGAGCAAGAGCCAATTGCACCCACTTCACTCATCACTGGTAGTGTGCAGAGGAAACAAACCACAATCCCTGGCTTAGCATCACATCCAACCCAGAGATGATGGTTTGTTTTGCTCGTAGCAGAGCACGGTCAGTAAGCCCAAGAGCAAACCTTTAGCTACAGATCTTGGCTTGTTGCAAATGTTGCAACCCAAACAAGCCGCTCTCCACAGTTCAGATGTTAGTCTAAGCCAGGGATTGTGGTTTGTTCCACCCTAGCAGGGAGGTGCATAGCAGGTGCCAGTGGGTCATGTGTAGTAAACCATGATGGCCAAATGTGGCCAGTGAACCTGGTGAACACTGAGAAGCCAGAGGGGGGCGGGGATGGTCTTCATTGCCCCCCTGCACAGCTCAATAGGGAAGAGAGCTAAAGCCTTGAAAATTTTGCTTGCATTGCATAATTGATTCATGACATCTTCAATTTAGTTGCACCAAAATGTTATGCAGTATATGATATGATAAATTACTTTTAAGTTTACACTCTAGAGGAGGGATCTAAAGGAGAGTACTGTTTGATGGGGGAGGATGGCATGGGCCCCCATCTCTATCTTTAGCGAACCATTATCAAACAGTGAAGTGTCCCATACTGAACTGAGGCTTTGGGCATCTTTCCACCCAGTGAACACGGCCATTCACTGTGGCCCCTTTCATGGCTTTGTGGCCAGCCAGGAGCAGAAATGCTGAATCAGCAGATTGGAGAGAATCATCCACCCCCCCTTTTTAAAAAAAGACCCAGGCACGTGGACGTGTCTTCAGTGACACACTTCTCTCCCACCCCCAAGATATATCTTGCTTGCGCACTCTCTCTCTCTCTCTGAAGTTAGGAATATTTCTTTTCTTGCAGCATCAGCAAAAGTGTGTGCGCGTGTGTGTAAATGAGGGGGGGGGAGTTGTGTGTGTGGTGCATGTGTGTGCGTTTTATCAAGCCGTGAGCACTCTGCTCCTTGGAGTGATAAGCTCTAAACCGACCAAGACTGTCAGTCTGAGTTGGAGGGTTTAGAAATATTGGGACGAATAATTAGATTTCATATCGTTACTGCTGCAGCCATCGAAGGATCAGGCAGATTAATTTTTCTCCTCTCTCTCTCTCTCTCTCTCTCTCTCTCTCTCTCTTTTTCCCTCCTCTGCTCATTAATATTCATTAGCGGCACATGAAGGCAGAGAGGAGCCGAGGCAAAGTTGCGGGGGGGGGGGGAGAATGAGGAAGGCCAGCGCTGCTGCTCATCTCAAAGAAAGTGTCTCTCTGCTCTGGGCATGGCTGTAAACCCTGTGGATCCTCCAGGTGTGGTCCAGGCCAGCTCCCATCATCTCTGACGATTGGCCGTGGGGCTGCTGGGATCTGGAGGCCAGGCACACCACAGCTTCCCAAATCCTGACCCAGAGCCGCCTCTTCCTCCATCCACACTCCCTCCAGCCTTTCCTGAGCCTTTTCTCATTGCACACTATCCTTTGTAAGGCACAGCAGTTAGAGTTAAGCACAGTATTCCAAGTATAGTCACACCATCTTTGTTTTTGCACCTTTGTTCCTGAGATGGAGCCCCTATACGTACCTAATGCTGGATTTAGGGCACTGGAGATGCACATGTTCCATGAATTAGCCTGGGGGTGGTTTTTTACTTCTTCTTTCGCCAGAGGCAGTGTGGATGCTGAATTGACAGGACAGAGTGCTTTGCATTAACCTGCCGCCTTTTAAAGAGGGGGACATAGATCTGTGGGTCAACTGAAGGGGGTGTTGTCGTCAATTTGTTTTTTATTTATTTATTGCATGCTGGCAAGCATAAATGTGAGCGAGGCAATTTGCATTCATTAGAGCGTTTGTCTGCCCTGGAAGGTCTCATGAAAAAAACCTCCCTAGGCTTCAGCCAACACTTCTTCCGGACACACCTTTTTTGTTGCTGTACCAGTCAGAGGTTGTACTCAGGGCAACCCTGTTTAGCTCTGAGGCCTTGCCATTCTTGATTCACTGGATCTTTTGACTCTCGCAAGCCTCCTTTGGGCTGGGACTAGCCCCAAGATCAGTCTCATACACACAAAAGTGAATGGTTCGTCATTTTCTTCTTGGGCTCAGAGAACACCTTTTACGTTGGGATCAGGAGAGAGAGGGCTCAGACCAGAAACCTGTCAAATCTAGCCAGTGCTTACAAGTGCCACTTCTTTAATGGGGTGGAAAGAAGCCTCATGTGGCAGTTGGGCTTCATGTCATGGCTTTGGGCCTTGTGGTTGGCTTGGCCTGCCCCCAAACAGGGTGCTCTTCCCATATCTGCTGACCATCTGTGGCCGCGTCAGCAACACAAGGATTGTTCGCCCGGCCCGGGACGCCACTGAGGCCCTTCCTCTTGTCTGCCCCAAGCAGCGAGAGGCTGCTCCAGCCCCGTCCCATCCCTCCTGCTTCCCTCCCTCCCTCCCCCAATCTCTTTTCCTCTCTCTGCATGGCTGAGGTTAGGGGTGAAGTGGCTGTTTCCTCCCCAGCCGGTGATGGTCGGCCCTCAGGTTAAGAAGAAGAGGAAATAACAAGCTTGTTGTGTTCGCAGTCACGCTCCGCCAGCCGTTGGCCGTGCCACGGGGTTGCCCAGGCAGCAAGCAGTGGGCTCAGTTTCCCCATGGGGGGTGGGCTATCCAGAGGCAGAGGCCTCTCTGTAGGAGGCTTGCTGGGACCCCTTTGTTAGTGCTACCCTGTGGGGAGTTAAGCCTGGGCTTGCTTTCTGGGAGACCCAAGGATGGTAGACTGACTGGTGTGTGTGAGAG